CCAGGCAGTCCAAAGGGAAGTAGGAAGTCCTTAGTTGTGGTGTTGTTTCTACCCTGCAGCAGCAGCAGCAGCAGCAGCAGCAGAGGGAAGAATGTGTCGTCGAGTCTTGGTCTGTCGCGTCTTGGTCTGTCGCGTCATTTTCACTCATCAGACTGATGCCACTCAGTACATGGATGGTCTTTTTATAGAGAGGGAGAGATTCTTTCTTATGTAGTGCTAAAGGGTATCCATGAACTACTTCGCCTGATGAATCTGTCCTGTTTGGTATCAGAGGGAGGTGGGGTCACCAACCATGGAGTTGGCATCTCATCTTTTTCTTCATCCTGGGTCAACATGCACCAATCACCACCCAAGAAAAAAAAAGAACCATGCAGCGTGATGGACCAATCAGAAGACAGCATCCCGAGCCGAGTTGTGCTTTCTCTCCTATGGAAAAGAAACACACGGGTTGGGCTGGTTTGGAACTGGGGCTCAAACCAGGTACCGGAACAGACCAATCAGCACGCTGGAACAGGGGAACATTTCGATCCACTCCTAAAAGTTGAAATAAAATTGTATTGTGTTGTCTTTATGATGTGGATCAAAATGCACAGTCGAAAAAAAACAGGATCGAAAATGCACCAATCAGAAGCTTGGGTTTTCGACCAATCAGAGGCCACACACGCACAGTGCGAGTCTCTGATTGGTCGAACAGCAGGTTGTGCTTTCTCTCCCATGGAAAATGCATTTTCCTATGGAGAAGAAACACAAGGGTCGGGCCAGTTTGGAAAATCGGGGCTCAGGCCAGGCACCAAAATGGACCAATCGGCGGGCCACGCTTTTGACCAATCAGCACACAGCGTTTTGGACCAATCAGCGTGCAGAGATTTTAGATCCGCTCCCTCTCCTATAAAAGACCGAAGCCACTCATAGCGGCACAGTCCTAACGAAAGAAGGAACATCAAGTCGTCTCAATATTAACCTTATTAAATGCCAGACCAACCTGTACCGCTGGGAGTAGTGACATGTACCTCAAGCCTCACTCAAGGTCACCATTTTCGCTGCAGATTGTCCAGTCAAGAAAGCCACCTTCAAGCTGAAGAAACTTTCCAGTGGATCTCAGCACAGACATGGTGTTACATGGCATGATGAGCTGAGTGACAAAATTTCTTCAATTAGAACACACATTAATTATGCTTTGCGGAATTCAGAAGGGGATGAAATCAAAGTTAAATCTTCCGTAGTTGATATTATGAATCATTACAAAAATCTGCATGATAGATCCTACTTCCCGGTGCAAAAAAAGAAGATCCGAAAGCAGAAACACTGTTGGTTATTGCACTTCAAAACAGTCTTATTTATAAGCACCCAAAAGATTTTCTTTCAGCAATGGACACTGCCTATGTAGAATCTTTCAACAATGTAATGAATGTATTTCACCATAAACGTGTATCATTTGGCAAATCAGAATATTTTAGGAGAAGTCATTTGGCTGTTTTACATTGGAATGAGAATGTAGATAGGGACTCCACCACTGAATGGGTGCCACCTGCCAGAAGACTGGTCCCTGAACTGTGTGGTCACAGGAATGCACCGGGAAAGAAAAGATTGGTCAAACCCAGCTGTAATTATCAAAATGCTATTTGGATTCATTTTATGAGCAAGCTTTATCAATAATTATTCACATTAGGAATTCAAAGAAAATTACTAGTTATCGTGATATTTATTTTTAATTTGTACATTTTGTAGAACTTCTGTTTCACTGCTTTAAATAAAAGAGTTTTGTTATATAATGGTCAATATAAGGGATAGCCACATATTGTGACTTCATGATATTTTGTGTAAACAATTCAGTTCCGAGGATGGCTACAATTGTCTTTCATTTACATAATATGGTACATAACAAGTTCTTGAGAATTGTAAAATTTCTTTTCCAAATATATCTATCATGACAGTTATTTGAAAATTGTATTTATAGGCTGATGTACTCTCTAAAAATCCATGGAATAAATGGACTGAAAATTGAGCATAGATAGGCCTCAGAACTATTAATATTTTCAAAAGAGCAGTCAAAGTGCTGTACCATTTCAAGGGCCTGAATGCAAGGTTGTCATTGCCATCTTTGGAAGAGTCCACTATTTATCGGGGACGTAGGCCTTTAAGGTGGTAGTTATTTCTAGCCTTCAGATTACTTCGAAAGAAAAATGTCCCTCCTCTTTCCCCTGCAATATCCGGGCATTTACAGTTAGGAGTCACAGGGTGTCTCCTGAAATCTATTCATGTTGGCCCTTCTTACAAGATATTAAAAATACCCAATAAGAGTACCAAGATTGCATGAAGTGAGTTTCATAAATCCTCTTAAACTAACATATCTACTCATTTTACATCACACCTACACCTTACTCAGAAGTCCTGTTCTATTCTGATGCCCAAGTCAATGCATGGGCAATCCTTTTTCTTAACGACAAAATGTGGTGGTGGTCCATGGAATGGTACAGGTTCTACTACACTAAATCAGAAACAGCTGTTCAATGATCAGCCATCAGTGCAGAATGAGATATGTAGCAGCTGTGAGTAGATGATATTGTGTAAGATTTATGGTTTTTTAAATGTACACCCATGAAGTAATTAAAACACTGATCATTTATTTGGTGCTTTTGACTTTCAAATAGGTGACATTTGGTGTGGAACTGGGGTTGGTGTGTTTAGCTTTATGTACTCGGAAAAGGTAGAGGCTAAGCCAACCAAAATGTGTTTGTATTGCAGCTTTTAGGCTAGACTGTGCATACGTGTACATGTAATTGCTGTTAAATGCCTAGTTATTTTAGAGAAAAAATATAACGATACTATAGAAGTCTGTGGGACATTTGGTTTTGTGTAACCTAAAACAACTCTCAAAGAAGTTGTTCATCCACAAATCATATTTAGAAAGGGTAAGATAAATGGATGAAGAAATTCATTATAACAGTTAGGAGCTTATATCTTATCCTTACTCAGTACTCCAACTTCTAAATGCCTCTTAAATAAATATAAAGAAGTCTATGGTTATCAGAAAACGACGAACTTCCACATATATAGTTGAATACAACAAAGACTTGCTAATTACTCTGTAGAGCTTGGTGCAAGATTCGGCCATGCAGTCATTGCTATAAGTTAAAAATTCAACAAACGTGAATATCTTTATAAATAATTTGCGCAGTGTATCGATTTTATAGCCTTTAACGTTACCGGTAACCTTTTGCTGCGATACTTTACACGTCTCTGAAATCATATAATAGCAATATTTTCTTTGTTGTCACACATTCTCATACAACCCGTGAAACATGTTCATCACAGGCGCGGGGAGAAACTGGTGGAGCAAGACCAGAGAAATGTTACGGAGGTGAACCGCACAAACATAAATAGTAATGTCCTTTGTGAAGTAACACTGTTCCCAACCATGTACTAGACATGAACGTTTTGGATATTCGACAACGGACATTGGATTACTGATTACAACGGACATTAGAAATGCGTACTGAGTTGATTGCTGGTCGTAAGTCGACTTGTGGCTATGGAAAAGGTTCTGTCACTTTTATTTCTTGTCCTTACTTTGATAATCGCTGATTATCACAAGAGTGAGTGAGTGAGTGAGTGAGTTAACAGTATTCCAGTTATATCGCTGCGTGTCAGCTTAATGTGGGAGGAAAGCCCGAAGTGATGCAGATTTCAAACGTTTACCACTTCGGTGAAATCCAGGAGCACGGGTATGGTGCTGAAAAACCTAGAAACATAATCGGGGCGAACCGGGATTCGAACCCACAATCATAGGTTTCTGGCGTGCCCAAGGGACGCATCTCTGCACAGCGAATCGCGGCGCCTAAGACGACTGGGCCACCCATGCCCCCGATATTTATAAGCGTCATCAGATGACAAATTAAACAGAAAAAAAATCTTCGGACTGTTAATTCCTCTCTAATCAGTCTGTCTGTAGACAAGAGTAGTTATTGAACTATCAAAACAAAACAATAGAACTGGGATACGGAACTTTGTATTTCTATGTCAAGTACACACCACTATGAACAGAGTCAAAGTCAAACTTGTTGCCATGGAAATGGCAAAAATATATATTCAAAGCACCCCAAAGTAGCAAAAGGCACCATTTGAAAACCTAGTGTTTGTGTCTGCAAATACCTATTAGTTTTAGAGATATCGATCCTACAAACACACCACTAAGAACAAAGGCAAACTTGTTGCCATGGAAACATGAAAAAAATAATTTTTGAAAATTTCTAACTTTCCAAAGATAACACTTCAGCCCTTGAATAATACATGTACCAAGATTGGATAAAAAGTGTTGAATATTTTTTTTAGTTCTGCTCCGATTTAGCTAAGTCATACTTGTTTCCATGGAAAAAAATAATTGTGAAAAAATCCTAAATAGCAAAAGGCACCACTTCAGGATCTGTTTGATATATGTGCCAAGGTTTTTTTGTGGAAAGAGTTGTTATTGAGTTGTGCCCCGGAAACAAAATCCACCCCCTCATGAGACGAAGTACAAATTGTTTCCATGAAAATCGAGAAAAATAAAAATGCTAAACATTCTCAAATAGCAAAGGGCACAACTTCAGGATATGTTTGATATATACTAGTATCTGCCTATACGTGTTGAAAAATATTTAAAGGTTTTCGTATTACCGTCCAGAAACGAAATTATTCCGGACGGAGGGCCAGACAGGCAGACGAGGCGTCGACTATATCCCCTCACATTATATGCCGGGGGGGATAATAACTTTTACTTAACATGCATGCCAAAAATGAGTCATGCTGGTCAAGCTATATTAAGCTCTAGATTAATATTCCAAGGTAAGGAAGGTACCCCACGGAGCAGAAAGCACAAGGAACCGTTGCCCAGCGCAATAATGCCATAAGCTTTAAGCATACCACTCTGTGTTGTGGGGCCTTGCATTCTAAGTGTGCGATTATTGCAAGGCCATAATGCTAAGTTATGGAAACTAAGAAAGAAACTTGTAACATTCTAGTAACAACCAACATTTTTTATTGCCTCTCACACCAGGGAAGTATGACACAGACAACATGATCACATGTGGTCTGTATGAGCTACAACAATCAGGCCATTCTTATTGTGGAAGACATAAATGGCGAGTCTCTGAGCAAAATTATTGTCAATATGCACACAAAAATATTTAAAAAATAAAAGCACTCCAAGAATAGAAATAAATAAAATGTAAATAACTGTCAATTTCCTCTATAGAAAAATCTGATATATTGCATAGTCATGTTTGCATAGCTTACTTATATCTACATTGTTCCATATAGCATCTGTTACATGTAAATGGATGCACACATTAAGGAGTTCTGGAGAGGCCCACGTAACACTGGGTCTTGAGTTGAACACAGGGGTAACTGAAACAGTTCCGTGCTTGCAAAGTCCATAGGCACAAAGAATAACATCGTCACTGTAATATCCAATTGTCACTTGCATAGTAAACAGTTTGTCACCATATATGAAGTAATAGTAGTATATAAAATTGTGTAAAATTATCTTGTACAAAATATACAAATAAATATATTGCATTTGTCCCATTTAGGTGTAATTAGTACTTTGGTTAGTAGGCAAGTTCAGCGCCCCATGGTCGGTATGGCTTGACGGAATGGGAGTGCTGGTTGGCGGAAGTGGCGGGGTTGTAGATGGGGCCTGAGTTCGGCGACATCATGGACGAAACTGAGTTGACGTTAAGCGACACTGGGAACTGGTTGTGAAGTTGGGGCAGAGAGGAGAGGAGCGGGGGTGAAATCTGTGAAACTTGTGATGTCGAGGAGTTCATTGAAGGAACCTGGCCACCAACACCAGCAGTCGGAAGCCGCATATGTCCATGAATAGAAGCAGCGCTGTCCGACTGACTGAGACGCGACTCGCTAAACGACACTGAAGACGACACCCCAGAGTGTCCGGAGTGTGCAGACATCGAGGAAACATGTTCTGATTGGCCAACATGCTGTGATGTAATCATTCCGCTCATGCCTGACATGGTGGCACTGCCGTACTGAGAGTTGAAGCCAGAATGTGGAGTCATTGAACTCCAGGAAGAGTTCTGAAGTGAAGCTTTGGCTGCGGCTTCTCTCTGGGCGGAATAACACTGAAGGTGACTGAGCAGGCGCAGACGAAGGGGGTCCTGAAGGTCCATACCCTCTACAGCCACCATGTAACGCGCAACTTCCGCCGCGCATTCACGGAAGCCAACACTGCGATAATCCATTGCTACTGCATGAGGATCGAAATTGTATGTATTGATTCCTGGAAGAAAGAAAACACTTTATTGATACTTCATTTTGTCATATAATTTATTTCAATATCCGAGACACAATAAGATATATTCATTGATGCACATCGCATACGGCTAACATATATTCACTATTTGTGATTTAATCTGAAGGATATGTTTAATATGCATTAAATTTAGTTTTGGGGAGAAAATCGCGGACAAGCCTCGTAAACTGAAGATAAATAGAGGATAGTCAGATTAATTTACAACTTGATTAGGCTAAACTTGTCAGACAAGCTATTATCTGTCGGTCTCTTTCTGGGATACAATCCACAGACAACATAATTTGGGAGCACCAACAATTTATAACATGTACCACGCAAGTCCTTCGCCCAGTTGATCAAACGAAGACAAAGAATCATTAAAATTGCGGTTTCTATTTCTGCATGTCGTCTGCATTCCAAACACGGGGCGATTCTCGTTAGGTGCATTTTCCCGCCAAATCAACAGATTCTCGCGGACGACAGGTTTTGCTCGCTTGATAATGGTGCAAACACAGAAAGCATTCGTCGCTAAACGCCGACTGCCGCTGTTGTGTTTGACCCGGCGCCAAAATAAACACTATTTGATCGCCGGACACACAGATCGGCAGTAGATAGCACGGACAGCATTTGTTTTTCCCATACCTTTCTGATGTAGCAGCTTCAAATGATCAACTGTCATTTGTAGGATCTCCGCCTTCTCGAGCTTGGCTGAACCCTGTGGGGAGAGAGCACACTGTTAGCTTACTGCACTTCACTATTCACACTACTGCCCACAAATAAATACTTACTGCACTTCAGGAATAACATGTTTTACGAAGAAGAAGAAGAAGAATACGATTTATTTATCATAAATCACAACAGTGATACAGAGAAAGGTATAATGAGTAACATGTTTCTTATGGAGCACACGCATACCTTTCATAACATAATTTAACTATAGTATGGACATGACATCACACATATGAAAAAGTATGAACACTTAACAGTTGTAGAATACCTACAGTTGTAAGCGCGTAGGAACGTATTTCTTACACATGACAAATTGGGACGTTCCAAAAACAACAAAATGCTTGCTATCACCAACTGCATTTCCACACAATGTACGTTTTCTCTCTTCTTTAATAACAACATATTGCATAGCTTTAATATATCGCATGGCATAATGAGGTAGTAATCAGAGATCAATATGCAAATATATGGCGACAATTACATACTACTAAAAATGTTGGTAATGACAGCAAAATCTGGAATGTGTCTGTAATTTGATGGTGTTTTTACTTAAATAAATAAATTCATCATACAGAACATAGGTCTCTTTTGACAAAATAATGGCAAAAATGTCTTTCCTATACCTACCAATAAATAGTGATACTCATCTCCAAAATCATTAGATCGGCATAAAACAGTTTTTCTCTATCAGAGGAATACGGTGTCACCGATCAAACTCAACAGGTAATTGCTGGTTTGAAAGTCTTGAGTTGTACTGAAGTAAACATACATTTCCCAGTGTCAACAGGTAACGTGTTGTTTAACGCTAAAGCGCGTTACAAACACGTATGTTAGACGGTAATAGTAGTAAGTCTGTCTCCATCCTTATACGTATAATAATGGCATGTTGATGAATTTGCTTTAGAAATGCTCCTATTTTAAAAAAGACGAATGTGGCGGAAGTACGTATATAAGTATATGATTAGTAATGTTGCACTGACAAGGACAGCTTTTGAGGTTGTATGAAAGTTCGCACAATCATCATGTCTCGTGGGAATGGGAATACTGCGGGTGGATACAACCAAATCATAATTAATTAAACATAGCTCGATTCCATTTTGATTACAATTGTCGTCATTTATTCCTCTGCATAATCCAGTTTAAAGTAATTCCCTACTGACTGTCCTGCAGCGAACAACAATAGGTACAAAAGAGTTCATGCATGAGAAACACAAGGTTTTCCACTTCCATATGTAATTATACCTGTGTAAGTTAATAAAAAGATCGACCCTTGAAAGTACCCAATGAGACGAAAGCCATAATCAAAAGGAATATGGCCGAAAGAGAAAAAAATATGACTGCAGGATAAGTATGTCAATTAGGATAAAAGTGTCCCACTACAAACGATTTTGATGATAAAGCATTCTTCAGCGACAAAAAACACTTTGCAAGACCCTAGAGTTAACGTGTCGTCAGCGTTTGTCAAATGCCGGTGAAAGGCCGACGTAATTGATTTGTGCGTTTGTTTGCCTTCAGACTGTATTTCACACGCATCTTTTTCACCGTGGTGCATCTATTTGAAAACGCTCTATTGGTCGTTCGTGGGACGACAAGTCGAGGTCGTGGGAGCCTGCTGTACCGCGGATAGCTCGTCGTGTTTATTCCGTATGCATTTGACTGACTGAATGCTTTTGCACCGCGGCTATTTGGACTAGGGTTTAAACGTATATGCACAGAAGGCGAAAAGCTTGTCTACAATGCAGCAAAATCGATGGGTTTTTTTCTCTAAATGTTGAAAATATAGATTTTAATTCGACACAAATGCAAAAATACTGTTAGTGGATGAGGTAAAATTTAATTTTGGTTTCCTTTTGCAGATACACAACACATACATTATGAATAGGAAATAAAGGCATAGGATTCACAATGGAACGCTATTTCACACCTCCATGAAACTCCAAGCTTTCACTTGGTTATTCATTTGCAATGGAGCTAAGTTATGACATGACCATAGCGAGCGTTAGGGGTGGGGAAGGGGAGATAATTGATGATTTCTTGTTTAGTAAAGTTTCTGCTATTGTGTGAACTTTGACAACTGACCCAGCAGCATTACCATGTCGCAAACGATGGCAAAAGAGAAATCATTTCTATGTGCCAAATAATCTGTGAAAGCATTGTGAGAACGTATACTTATTGAACGTGGTATCTCCGTGATATTAAGGAGGACATCCGGTGGATTGGGTTATGGAAGGTTGTAGATCGCAAACTAATTAGTCCCAAGTGTATTGTCTTACAGGAAGTTATTATCAAGCATAGTTAGATATACTACCGTTGATATCAGCTCTGAATTACCAACCGCCCTAATAATCTAATGTCCCGGACAAGTTGACATATTGCTAAAATGGCCACAGGAAATTATTCAATGCACCTTATGAGGCTGAGGAAAAACTGAAGTAACAATGTTCGGTTGAAACTCAGTAATGGATCGCCCGAATACTGCAAGTGGGGAAAAAGATGCCATTCCAACTACATGACATAACGAAAACTACTGTTGCTAAACAGTCAATGTAAGCGTGTGGTAATATCGAACATTAATTACCTGTTTCTCAAAGGCAGATGGTACAAGTCTCCGAAGTTCCGATAAACTGTTATTAATCCTGTCACGCCTGCGCTTCTCTATTATCTGCAATGCGATGTAAAAAGACAATAATAAACATCATCATAAAGGTATAGTATAGTGTTATGGTATTATGTATATCCTGCTTCCTCTTTTTTCAAAACGATGGGTCAAAAGTAAGCCATAATTAAAGAGATAATTGGCTAATAAAGTGTAAAGGTGAGTGATTTGGGATCGATAGGTTGGCATCACGCAGTGGTTGAGTCATGCATCTATGCATCTGCTCCAGGAACCTGTCTTGAATACCACAGTACCACGTGAATCCCCGCCATGTCGTGTTGTCACGAACTCTCAACATGAACATGTAGTATTATTACTATGTCATCTGATAAATCACATCTCTATGTTCAAAAGCCGTGGTTAAATAAACAATGACTTACCCCTCGTCTTTTCTTCCTGTCCGTAATCTGGCAGCTCTGTGACGGGGATCTAAAAGATAAAACAAACACTGTCGATGTGTAAACATGTACTAACATAGGAAACACACCAAAAGTTAGCACATGCGCATACATTTTCCACACAACTAAACTGACGAGATCGCGTGCAAGAAGCACGTGTAAAATCCACAAGAGACGAACATTGCGCATGCAATGCACCCACCCTGCCTTAAGGCGATCCTCGAATCCATCGTCGCTTTCACTGTCGCTCAGACTTCGCTTCATATTGGGCTACGGAAGCTGCAATTCAACAAACTAGATGAGAGCGGATGTAGGTCTTTCCTGAACGACGTTCGTTTTCAACTGTCATAGCCTGCCCACGCCGGCTCAATAAAACCTGGCCCGTGCGCTCCGATCACACCTCCCCCGGCCAACGCTCGATGATTGACAGGCCGTCGGTCGTTTACTATGGAACGTTTGCATACAACGCGGCCCATGTTGGTCATTTGATTGGCTGTCGCCTGCCTAAACCACGCCAGACGACGGCCAGGAGTTGGGCATAATTATCGTTAGGAGGAGCGACCCACACCTAGTCATGCATGATAATACCAGCAATGGAAGACACACTTGTTTAGATTATAAGTTTAGATTCATATGTCAGCTATATATTCTAATGAACATATCTGGAGAAGTTTCTTCCAAAATTTTGTTGAAATGTTAAAAATAATCATTGACACTAAATATTGTTGTGATGAGAAGTCAGCTGAGCGTGATACGTTATTCCCATTCGGGGCTGGCAGGTGATCGTTCATTGCGCTGAGCGCGCGGCAGTCACGTGTGTGTCCGTGGGAAAGCGGTGAGACGGGCGACTACAGGGTGAATGCAATGGGCCAGAGTGAGGAACCGGGTGACAGTGTCACTCAACTGACAACCGTCGATAGTCTTTGGTGATCGTATCAGGCGTGTGAACAACATCATACACTCATGATTTGTACACTAAATGTAAAACGACATGTTTCGAAATGAAGATGGGAATTAACTTGCACGTTCACAGAGGTTGATATAAAAGCGAGGTTTTTCGCCCAGACCGTTTAATCATCGCGTGAGTTTGTGGACGCTGTGAGCACCGACAGTGATATTTCACAAGGTATACATTTATGGGACCACTTTTATTACTGAACTGTCGGAAGTATTTTTATATCCAACAGAAAATGGAAAGCCTTTTTACGCTGGTACTCCACTGGTACACCCAGCTTTGAAGACCGAAGAGAACATTGGTGTTCTGATACCAACACCAGAAAGTTGTTGGCATAATATCTTCATATATTAGTCTTCACATGAGTAGTATATAATTTGTTTTTTTCTGTCGATTTATTAACGAGAACAGGCCACAGGTTACTGTCTACAGTTTGACATCCACGCTTCGATGGACGCCCTCATATTTGATGGAATCTTTATGTGAATTTGTTTTCGATGATGTATATTTACTTAGTTAGCCAGCTTGTACATTTTGGCTGTATAGTTCGTAAGGCCATCTTTCATTTAGCCACGGCATGGTCAACCTTACCGGTAACGGTATACTAGATCATGTGTAAGAGTGAGTGAGTGAGTGAGTTGGGTTTAACGCCGCTTTTAACAGAATTCCAGTTATATCGCGGCGTGTCAGCTTAATGTGGGAGGAAAGCCCGAAGTGATGCAGGTCTCAGACGTTTACTACTTTGGTGAAACCCACGAGCACGGGTATGGTGCTGACAAACCTAGAAACATAATCGGGGCGAACCGGGATTCGAACCCACATTCATAGGTTTCTGGCGTGCCCAAAGGACTCTGCACAGCGAATCGCGGCGCCTTAGACGACTGGGCCACCCATGCCCCCTCATGTGTAAGACAACCAGGCTTGTGTGATACAGAGATCTGTATACTAGATCATCTGTAAGACAACCAGCGATGTGTTATATAGATATCTGTATACTAGATCATGTGTAAGACAACCAGGGATGTGTAATACAGAGATCTGTATACTAGATCATGTGTAAGACAACCATGCTTGTGTAATACAGAGATCTGTATGCTAGATCATGTGTAAGACAACCAGGGATGTGTAATACAGAGATCTGTATACTAGATCATGTGTAAGACAACCAGGGATGTGTAATATAGAGATCTGTATACTAGATCATGTGTAAGACAACCAGGGATGTGTAATATAGAGATCTGCATACTAGATCATGTGTAAGACAACCAGGGATGTGTAATACAGAGATCTGTATACTAGATCATGTGTAAGACAACCAGGGATGTGTAATATAGAGATCTGTATACTAGATCATGTGTAAGACAACCAGGGATGTGTAATACAGGGATCTGTATACTAGATCATGTGTAAGACAACCAGGCATGTGTAATACAGGGATCTGTATACTAGATCATGTGTAAGACAACCAGGGATGTGTAATACAGGGATCTGTATACTAGATCATGTGTAAGACAACCAGGCATGTGTGAGACAGAGATCGATGTACTAGATCATGTGTAAGACAACCAGGCTTGTGTAATACAGAGATCTGTATACTACATCATGTGTAAGACAACCATGCATGTGTAATATATAGATATGTATACTAGATCATGTGTAAGACAACCAGGGATGTGTAATATAGAGATTTGTATACTAGATCATATGTAAGACAACCATGCATGTGTAATATAGAGATATGCATACTAGATCATGTGTAAGACAACCATGCATGTTTAATATCGATATATGTATACCAGATCATGTGTAAGACAACCAGGGATGTGTTGTTTAGAGATCCATATACACAGTTATGTGTAATATAAGGATACCGACAAAATCATGTTTGGAGTTATACAGTACGTTAGTATAGAAATCCTGACAATCGGGTACGTGATATATAGAGGTCCCGACAAGATAATGTGTAGATTCATCAGGCACGTGTAATATCGAGATTCCGACTACATCCTTTGTTAGACAATCAGGCACCTGTGATGTATAGCGATTCCGATTAGATTATATGTAGGTGATCAGGCAGTTATAACTCAAAATAATATAGGTTGTCATCACGCAACATATAAAAGTCATCTAGATGTCTAAGACCATCTGCTCACTCTCTGTCCACCGCGAGGCATCACATGCGTAGAATGACACATTTTCATGTCAGTGCCCCTGAGAGAACTGAAACAGGACAGTTCGATAGTGTTTTTGGGTACGTATGTTTTTTGGCTGTACAGCATCCGTCCTTTCACATATTTTCTGTGTTCAATTGTAAAACTTTCTTAAACCTGTTTTAATGCATTGCAGAGCTTAAAGAGCAATACTAGGTTCTGTTTAGTCTGTCGCTGGATGCCCAGCTACAAATGCGAAACCCTGCGAATGTTTTCAACATAGTGTACGAAGTTTCCGCCATGTCCAGAATTACATATTTCATATAAACTTTAATGCTTTAATGTTTTAACATTTAATTACTAAGAGTTTATACCATTTATGTGCTCATACAGCAACAATAGCCATCTCTCTATTCACTTGCGTGTTTGTCCTTTCTGATGAAAGCGTATTTCTATGGAGTACTTCTTGAATGAATGCTGTGTAACTCAGTGAACTCTGATTTATATGATATAGTAGTTTATTGACAGCTTTGATTTGCAAGGATTCGTAGTCACTTTCTCTAATTCGACTGTTAATAAGAATTGTCAATAGTCATATAATGTCAGTGTTATTAACATCTGGCAGTTTGTAATCGGGTATGAATCATTAATTTGTCTTGTCCAGTTTAAACGACCTCCGAAACATCAAATATGTTTTATTACTGATGAAAAGGTTCAGATTTCGCCCTGCAGTCTAAATCACGAAAATAATTTCACTGCGTTTCCCACGGTGTGAGAAATGTTTATTTATTTTTGGCTCCAATACACATTGTCACGTGACCGCACGAGTAGTTTCAGCCGGGCAAGGAGAAAGGAACCACTTTGGACATTCCATTGAATGTATTTTCTTTAAATGATGTTACTAGATATACATTTAGACTAATCTAGCTAATGTTATTCAATACTTATATCCTGGGAAGCAACAACTATGTTATTCAAAATACACCAGGTAGCCAGGCCGGGTCACTGAAGCGTTACGATGTAATTGGCGAGCGTTCATGCAGCATTGTGCGCGCGTCGCTCTAGGCGGATCGCAGCTTCGAAGGAACACTGCGAGTCCCTGAGCCATAATATTTTCCCTTCCGCCCAGTCCGTACTGTAATGGTATAGTCTAAAAGAAGCAAGTCTAAATTTTCCGCAGGTTCAAGAATCTCTCACCTCACATGGGCTATTTTTTAAATGAAGCTGCTTCTTTCTATCAAAATTATATATTTTCAGAGATTAAGCGTTAATCTACGGCTTCCGGTTCCACGCACAGTTACAAATGGAAACGTCAGTACGAAACTAGTACCGTCAACAAAAACATGAATCGAAGGTCCTATGCGAAATAAAAGATTTTGTGTTCTATGTTGGTGTGTGTTTTCGTATTATGAGGACGTGTAACAAGTATTTACAATGTGTGTTATGGATGAGGACATGTAACCCACTACTTATATATTATATACGAGGACGTATAACCCTGCATCTACAGTGTATGTTATGTACGAGGACGTATAACCCAGTATTTACAGTATGTGTTATGGGCGAGGACATGTAACCCTGTATCTACAGTGTATATTATATACGAGGACGTATCACCCTGCATCTACAGTGTGTGTTATGTACGAGGACATATAACCGAGTATTTACAGTGTACGTTATGTAAAAGAACGTATAACCCAGTATCTACTGGTGTTTGTTATGTACGAGGACATATAACCCAGTGTCTACAGTGTATGTTATCGACGAGGACGTATAACCCAGTGTCTACGGTGTATGTTATATTCGAGGACGTATCACCCAGTATCAACAGTGTGTGTTATGTTCGAGGAAGTATAACCCAGTATCTACAGTATGTGGTATGGAGGATGACGTGTAACCCAGTATCTACAGTATATGGTATGTAACAGAATGTATCACCCATAATCTAGAGTGTATGTTATGTACAAGGACGTATAACCCAGTGTCTACCGGTGTATGTATTGTATGAGGACGTATAACCCAGTATCTACAGTGTATATTATATGCGAGAACGTATAACCCAGTATCTACAGTGTATGTTATGTACCAGGAAGAATAACCCAGTATCTACAGTATGTGTTATGGACGAGGACGTGTAACCAGTAACTACAGTGAATGTTGTGTACGAGGACGTATCACCCTGTATCTACAGTGTGTGTTATTTACGAGGACGTATAATCGAGTATCTACAGTGTACGTTATGTAAAAGAACGTATAACCCAGAATCTACTGGTGTATGTTACGTACGAGGACGTATAACACAGTATCT